CGTGTTAATATCAAAAGAAGTGGTTCATTGGAGTTCATATTTGGAAACTAGCTATCCCCAGAAGCAATATTGGAGGTTTAAATATGTAATGTCAACAAAAATTTAAGTAGGAAAATCCCGTTTTTTGTCTCTGTAGGGTCATTTTTCTTTTCTTTTTCTTGGTATGGCTCATTTGGTGATCAGTTTGGCAGTGGAATGTAGTGAAGAGAAAATCAAGGACAAGGCTACGATTTGAGCCTGGCATAGATGTAAAAAATCACGGTATGATTGGTAATGATAACTCATACAAAAGAAAGACTTAGGGTAACTTATTCATAGAAAAATGATGTCCTCGGGGCGCCTGGGTGGCTCAGATGGTTAAGCGTCTGCCTTTGGCTCAGGTCATGATCCCAGGGTCATGGGATCAAGCCCCACATTGGGCTCCTGGCTCAGTGAGGAGCCTACTTCTCCCTCTGCCTCTCTCCCTGCTCATGCTTTCTCTCTCTGTATCTGTGTCTCAAATGAATAAATAAAATCTTAAAAAAAAAGAAAGAAAAATGATGTCCTGAAGTATATCTTCAGTATAAGATTATGAGTTTGATTGGATAATCTGGGTTTCCAACCGAACACTCATGGTATGTGAAGACTGGTGCACCAGAGCGTCATTCATAGCGAGGGGAGGGCAGGAGATGCAGGTGTGAGAGTCATGCACTGCGTCCGGAGATTTGTCAAGTCTTCATTTTTGATTTTGTGTTGTATGTGTATCTTCATTTGACTCGTCCTTTCAAAAAACCTGCCTTTAATTTTTTTAAATCTTTACGTCATGTCTGTGGTAGGCAGAATATTGGTCCCCCTCAAGACGTCCATGTCCTAATCTCTAGAACTTGTGAATGGGTTGTTATGTGACAAAGTGATTAAGGTTGTAGATGAAATTAAGCTTTCTAATCATTTGACCTTAAAATAAGGCTATTATCTTGGATTACCTAGTGGACCCAATATAACCACAGGGATCCTTAGTGCCATGAAGCAATATGAGAACTTGACTGGCCATTGCTGGCTTTAAATATGAAAGGAGGCCACAAGTCAAGGAATGTGGTAGCCTGTAGAAACTGGAGAAGGCAAGGAAATGGATTGGCCCCTGGAACCTCTATAAGAAGTGCAGCCTTCCTGACAATTTGATTTTAGCCCATTAAAACACATTTCAGACTTCTGACCTTCAAAGCAGTAGGATAATAATTTTTTTTAAATTACTAACATTGTGATAATTTCTTATAGCAGCAATACGAATTTGCTGTTTTGATATCTGGTATAGGGCTGCTGTACCCTAAAAATGTGAAAGAGGCTTTGGAATTGGGCGTGAGCTGAGGCTGAAAGAATTTGGAAGAAGACAGAATGAGCCTGGATTGCCTTGAAGAGACTGTTAATAGATACACAGATGTTAACAACTGCCTCTGAGGGCTCAGAAGGAATTGAAGAAAATGGTAGAGAAAACATACCTTATTTCAGAAAACACTTCAATCAGCATGAACAGACTATTAGGAGAAATAGGACGTTGAAGGCTCCACCAGTGAGGATTCAGATGTAAGTGAAATGAGCATGTTATTGGAAACAGGAGGAAAGTAGATTCTCTTAGTGGCAGAAACGTAGCTGAATTCTGGCCTGAGGCTACATGAAAAGCAAAGCTTGTCAATGATGAACTTGGGTATTTAGCTGGGGAGACTTCCAAGCAAAGAGTTGGAGGTGTAGCCTTTTGCTTATAATGCAACAGGAATGCCTTACATTGCACTTTTTCCAGAATCTCAATTTGTAAACATCCTACTCTGCAACCACTGCCTACTCTCTTTTTATCCCATTCCCTCCATTCATGCCCTGAATGTAACATCTTTTAAATCCTACTTGCTTCTACAATTCATTGATTTTCACCATTCCACACCTCTCTTTGAAATTTCTAGAACTAAAATAAATGAGAGATTTGACATCTTGAATGTCAGCTTGTTATTTTTAATGGCCTATCATCTTCCTCCAAAAGACTGGGAGACAGAAGTTAAAAAGACAAAAAACAAAAGAAGACCTAATGCCAACCACAATTAGATCTTTAATGTTGGATTTGGCCATAATGAAGGATTTAAACAACTAAAAGAAAAACCTGAGTATCCTGCATTTTAAATCCCATTTTACTGATAACTCTGTTTTCTTTCATCATTTGGGATTGAATGCGGCATAAAAACTTTTATAAGAGGATCAAGGTAGAAGAAACAGATGGAGAAATCCTACCATTCTACCAGTTGTCACACATTTCTTGGGGAAAATTAATTTATACATTTACGTATGCACTGAACATATTTATTAAGCATCTATTTTCTGTCAGACACCAAGATAGAAGCTGGGGATTCAAAGATGAGCAAAAGGAAGACAAAAATAATTGCCAAATATGTTTATTAGAATAAGAATAATTTATAAAGAAATGGATAGTATATTATTTGTTCACACAAGACACTGATTGTGTCTCTAGTGGACCCCTTCCAAACACCTGTGAATAAGAGGATTGATAGTAAATTCCAAGTGGAATTATTTAATTGAAATATACTTAGAGGAATTTTAGAGGGACAGGGCAGAAAGAACTGAGGAATAAATCCAAAGATTGTACCTATGGTAGCACAGATTTCACTAAAACCCCAAAAATGCTTTTAGAAACAATATTTATACTTGCCCACACCACCTTCACCTGTAGGTCATCTGTGGTTCTATTCCAGTGTCCCTTCACTATTCTGGATTCTGAGCTGAGGGAACATCCTTTATCCAAGGCAAATCGTTCTTATGGGAGAGAGGAAATAGCAATATTGTATAAGCCAATGGCTCCTAAAGCATCTACTCACACATAGCTTATGTTCTACTCCCATTCCATTGGCCATAGCAGATCAGATGGCCAAGCTGATGTCAATGTGTGAGGGGAGATAATGTCTCTTGAAAGAGGAGAGAAAATACTTGGGAATAATTGATATTTATTTAAATAAGATGTAAGTGGTTCTTTGAAAAGGCAGAGTAGAAAGATTGAGGGAAAAAAAAAAGAGACCATACATTGAAAATAAATTCAGCAGTGTTTTAGAAATTCTAATTAATATTGATCTTCTATGGCTAAAGAGGAAGACTGGTCTATTGAACAAGGTTAAGTTGCAGACAATAGAATATAATCTAATTAATCAGAACAGTTTTACACCAGCAAATAGAAACTCATAATATTATTGAAAAGCCCAGGAATCAGTTCTAGGCTAAAGTTAAGGAACGATTTCTAGGCTCAGGACTGATCTACTGCAATTGTTAAATTTACCTCTGCCTTCACGGAAAGCTGATAATCCCGGAAGCTGTTGTCACCACTGCTGTTTGCAAAACATACTAGTTCTGCCATGGAAATGCCAGGAAAATAAGCTGCAAATTGAGAAGTTGCTAATAGAGCTCTAGAGCCACTACCTTATCTGCTATATTCTGTGCCAGCAAAATAAATGTACTCCCTAGCTATCACACATAACTTTTCTAGGGATCAAAGTTTACACAGGGCATTAACTGGTGGAATATAAGTCACACTGAGAAGCCTAGCTACAAGAGAATCTGGGAAGGTATTCTTTTTTTTTTTTTTTGTAATAGAAAGGCTTTATTTAATCTTTATAATAATTAAGCTATTTTATTACAGTGTTCTTTTGACTTAGACACTAATCACACACATAAAGAGAAACAGAACTTAATTAGAAACTTAATTAGAAATTGGATAAACATCACACTTGTTTTATATTGTCTTTTTTCAGAAGTGTGATATTTTAGGTAAAAAATTCAGAGTCCTAAGAATTGGAAGACATTCTTTTCTAAGGCTGATGAGAAAAAAAATTAGCAATGATTTTCTTTTAATCAACTCTTATTTAGAGAGAACATACTGATTAACATTTGACAGAAACTGATGAAATTAAATATACTTTTGTTTACCTATTCACTTTTTAAAAATTTCAGCACTTTTTCTACAAATTTTGTTTAAAAAAAAAAGAAAGAAAAGCTACGGGGAAGTTGAAGGAATAGTGTTTGAATACCTTCTAATCATTACGTATTTTATCAACTGTTAAACTATCACCATATTTGCATTCTCTCTTTCCCTCCCTCCCCCGTGCACCTCCCTCTCCCTCATAAAATACATGCTGCCCTCTCTGTGTCCCTCCACACATGACTTGTTTTTTTGCAGAACCATTTGAAAGTAAGGTGCACACATCATGACACTTCACCCCTAAATAATTCAACACGAATATCATAAGAACAAGAGCATTTTCCTACATAACCACAATACCATTAACACATCCGTGGATTTTAACATTGACTCAACGGGGAAAATGTAACTTTTAGCTTTCTCTGCATTTAAAGAGAGGTTGGAATGGATGTTTACTGAACCCAGGCACATTATCTTCCATTTTTAAGTTCAAGAACTGCCTTCCCTTATATAGGGGTTGACTTTGATGTCTAACACTGCCACTATCCTGCCAGTCCCTGAAGGTGAATTTTCTACTCAATTCCATTCAAAATCATTTCCCCTCGGGATAGAAATTATCATAAATGTAGCAATTTATTCCTGTTATGCCCTGAGAATAAACTCCGGGTAAGCTGAACTTGCAGCGCTGAAGTCAGGCTCTGACAGAACCCATCTGTTTTGGTGTCAGCAGCTGTGGCTTTGGTCATGGAATTTATTTTCAAAGTGATGAACAGGGAGAAAGTGGGGTGGTTTGTTTACCTGTCTGGTTTTAATGACGTTCTCAATGAAGAGGGAAGGAAATATGCTACATTATTGCCTCCGTTACTTCTGTAACTGATTCTGAGGCACGTTCGTGTAAAATAAAAATTCAGACGGAAAAGAAAAAAACGGTTTTCCTTTCTAAATTCTGTAAACATAATTCAGTTCAGTTCCTTTTGTAGCACTGAGGTGCAGAGTCACTACCTAGAACCACAATTAACTACAGCCTCTCTTATCTCCTCCATCTCTAGAGAGAGAGAGAGCCTTAAAAACATACAAAAACAGACCTCCACAGACTTTAAGAGCGGCCCACATGGAGAGAGGGAAAGGTGAGGACTTCTGAAATAGAAAGAAGGAGCTCCCTGGGTTGATTTCCTCTGCATGACCCTGCCTTTCTTTTGGAGATGGCATTGCTATAAATCAGACTTGCACATTTCAATTATAAAAATGACTCAAACTTTTCATACCCTCAAGTATGAGCATTTCTGGAAAAGTTTAAAGTCCACCATTCTTAGATATTCCTTAAGCTGCCCATCCCTGGCCACTTCCACTGCAGTGATGAGGAAGCTTTCATTTTGTAAGAACTTAAAATGAACCCAGATTAGACTTTTCACAGTTTTCAATTTTTTTTTCCCTAGAAAGTTGAAACTTCTGAGAGAAGAATTTCAGAAGTGTTTAAAATTGATGATAAGAAAAGCGACTCATGAAGAAACCATTCTCCACTGAGGGCTGAGGTATCATCTATGGGCTCCTCAATCATTTTGCAATAAGTCTAGATTAATTGATGGTATTTTTTGATGCATATGTATGAAGGAGCTAATAGATGTTAATTTAGTATTTATCAAACACTAAGATACTTTTTTGGGGAAATGTCCAATTAAATTTGATCATGTAAATCTAACAAAGAGGGGAGATATATATGTTTAAGGGCAGTGACCATAACAGGAAATGTACATCTATCTTTTTATGTTCTACCTAGTAGGGAGATACCATGATGCTTAAAAGATGGTCTCAAGAAATAAAAGTACATTGTGATTGGCCTTAGAAAGAAAAATTAACTTTTTTAAAGTTTTTAAATCTTTTTTAAAAAGATGACTTAAGAATGTATTTGAGGATCTGCTCTGTCCAAGCCACTGTGTTAAAATAGATCTTTATTAAATAATGAAAGAAATTTTCATATATTCTCTTCAGAAAACAGGTACCAACCATCCAACTTAAAACCAAAGAGAACATCATCTAGCACCCTCGTGTCAAGCCCACTTCCACTCCCAGACCTGTTCCACCCTCTACCACTTAACTGCTGTGAGTGCATCAATGGCAAAACACTGATTGATTGATACATTGAGGAAAGGATGCTGTTTCCATTCTTATGATTTGAAGAGAAAGAAGTATTTTTCATTCTGACTTTGCTCTTATGTCTATGCACTGTCCTTAGTTAATGTATGATGTTTTGGTCTAGTGGTATACTAGATGCAGTGCTTGAAACATGGACCAATTGTATACAACCTATCTGTCTAGTCCTAACTTCTGTGATATCCCAATATGGACCATGGTCCCCCACCTTTCTGAATTTTTCCTCTTTCCTACACGTTCATATTTTCTTACTTAGGTTCTCCCCTAAACAGCCTTGGTGGAAGGGTTCACATTTGTTTGGGGGGTGCAGGAAATACCAGTAGGAAAATGGAAAAGTGAGACAGAGACAAGAAAGCAACAAGTGAAGGATTATGAATAAAGGGTTATAGAGTCTCTCCTATTGCAGGCAATTAGAACTTAATTCCATTGGGAAAATTCTGAGAGGCGGTGTAGATTCATCAGTCAGGGAAACTGAGCTTTTATTTCTATACCAACTGCGGAAGGTACTAATTCCCCAGCTCTCTGCCAGTCATATGTATGAAAAAAGGCATTCTGCCATTTCAGAGAAAACACTCAGGCAAATGGATAAAGATACTGGGGGTTGGAAGTTGGCCACTGAAGTTGGATACCCTGGGGATATGAGTTGGGATGAATCTATTATTCGTGCGTGGCCTTGCTTATTCGTTTCCCTAGATCTTTTTTTTTTTTTTAAGACTTTATTTATTTGATAGAGAGACAGCGAGAGAGGGAATGCAAACGGGGGGAGTGGGAGAGGGAGAAGCAGGCTTCCTGCCGAGCATGATATGGGGCTTGATCCCAGGACCCTGGGATCATGACCTGAGCCGAAGGCAGACGCTTAACGACTGAGCCACCCAGGTGCCCCTCATTTCCCTAGATCTTTGCTCCTGGTCTCCTTCTACCTTCTACTTACCCTGTTTCTTCTCAAGTTATCCCAAATATCATCTCTTTGATGTCATCTCTGACTGTCAAATACGGTTTATCCTTCCTTTATTATTCTCCATTACACCTACAATGGTTCTTGTACTACTTTGCACTGAGAATATTTGGGTACATGCTTCATTTTTACTATTAAAAGAAGTGACTTGGGGGTGCCTGGGTGGCTCAGTCAGTTAAGCATCTGCCTTTGGCTCAGGTCATGATCCCAGAGTCCTGGGATTGAGTCCTGCATCGGGCTCCCTGCTCAGCGGGAAGCCTGCTTCTCCCTCTCCCGCTTCCTGCTGCTTCTCTCTCTCTCTCTCTCTCTCTGTCAAATGAATAAATAAAATCTTTAAAAAGAAAAAGAAGTGATTAAAAAAAAAACCCAGGGACCTTGTAAATTTGTATCTCTTTCAAGGTCTAGTAGAGTGTCTTGTACACAACTGGTATTGTAAAAACTTTGTTGAGTGAATTTACTGAATTGATTGTGTCCTGAGAACCAAATATAGGGAAAGAAAATACCAGTATTTTAGTATGATTTAGCAAAATGTATGTAAGTACATTTACTATTAAAAATACATCTCGTAGTACCAAATGAAGCAAGGATTTCCAAAGAAAAACTCAAAGCACAAAGTGATTTGATATATATTCTTTTCAACCTGATGGTGATAACTTTTCTTCAGCTCTTTCTCTCAGCCTTTTGTTATCTAGTTTCAAGCCCTCAAAGTCCCACTTGTTAAATACATTTTTAGTATTATTTACAAAGGTATTATAAATCCCATAGGACTGAAATCATCACAGTTGAATCTATCATTATTCTCATAGCAGGTAATATCTGTTCATCTTTGTCATTCTGAAGTTACCTCTTTTTTAGTAACAGCAAAAGATCTCTTTCTCCTACTCTGTATGCCTTCTTAGTGAATGTGTCTGATGTCATTCTGTGTGTTATTTTCAATTTGCCTTCCTGCACCATTGCCCCAGGCTCTTTCTTGTTTATGGCCTTATTTCAAATTTAAAGTGCCATCTGCATAAATTTAATTTATTAAAATTATTTAAAATCATGTTTTAAAATAGGTACTTTTTGCAATAGAAATAGGGGAAAGATCTTGATAGCCAGGCACATTTAGATTGATGGAAAAAGAAATTGAAAAATAAAGAAGGTAAAATTATAGGAGTTTATTGGTTGGCTTTCATTCAATGGTTAAGAATTTTTCTCTAGCTCTATTTGAAAGATAAACATTTCAATGTAGGATTTTGTAAAACCATGGTCCATGAGTTAGAAATCATTCCAGTTGCCTATGTCTTGTCTTGCCTTTAGTCGTCCAACATTTTTAGATGATAATTCATGAGTGACTGTGGATGGACCTATGTATAATAGATAATGCTATTCCATGATTTCACTGATGAATACTACTGTCATCATGTGCAAATATTTTGCTAAATTAACTTTACAACTATAGAACTATTCTGATTACCAAATCTGATGCAGGTGTTTTGGGGGGATGGGGTGGTTTCCCACACCACCAAGCAATTAACTCAGTTCTGACACTGTCTGCCTGGAGATAGCATCAGATCCCACAGGTTAAGGGCTCAGTCCTATAAAACTGCCCTTCTGCTCCGACTTCAGATGCCAGTCACAAGTCCAGGTTGTCACCTGTGCTTCTTACCAACTGGCTATAGGTCTGAGGTTCCAACAACTCCCTTTCTGAGCTGAACTTATTTGCTAGAGTGAAAGCAGTGTTTTACTTACTAAATACCAGTTTATTATAAAAGTCTATAAATCAGGAATGGCCAGATTGAAAAGATGTTCAGGGCTAGGTATGGGGAACAGGCACAGAGATTCCATGCCCTTTCCAGACGTGTGACTCTATAGCATCTCCACGTGGTCACCAATCCAGAAGCTCTTTTGAACTCTCTCTTTTGTTTTTTGGGGTTTTTTTTGGAGACATAAATGCTTAAATAATTGGACATTAGTGATTGGTTCAACCTTCAGCCACTATCCCTGACCTGAAAATCAGGGGATGGGACTGAAAGTTCTGATCCTCTATTCAAGATTGTTTCCCCTGGCAACCAGTCTCCTTCCTTAGGTACTTTCCAAAAGTTACCTCATTAACATAAACCCAATTATGAATAACAAGACAGCCATTTCACCTTTATGGCTCTGAAGCCATAATTTCATAATTTCAGGAAGTGAGGACAAGAGACCAAATATTATAACAAAAGTTGCTCCTATTGCTCTTATTGCTCAGGAAGTTGCAAGGGTTCTGGAAGCTGTGAGCCAGGAACTGTGGACAAAGACCATTTGGTCTTTGAGAAATACATTTTGCTGATTTGAAGGACCAAATTTATGTTTCTTATAAGTCATAATTATAATATAGTATATTAGTGTATATAGTATATTCTTGAAGAATAGCCATTAGTTTGGGATAAATTAGTCATTGTGTAGGAAAAATTAATATGTGCTCATTTTATTTTCCTTTTGGGTTGAAACTCAAAAAATGACGTTTGTAATATTCTTTCCTAAATGTATCGATGTCATCATCTTCAATCTTCAAAAAGGATGAGGGTTAGGATACGGCCCAATAAGAAGGTAAAATCAACTATTATAATTAAAGCAACTCTTCATCTCTGTCATCATATTTTTGCAAAGTTTCATATGTTGTATGTATTTCCACATCCAGAGAATGAAAGAAATGAGATAACATGTGATATTGGTCTACACAGTGTCTCAGCAGAGAAAGCTCAGATTTGAGTCATTTAAGTCTAGGAAATATTAATTTTCTTATAAAACAAACCATTTTCTAAAGAATTCTGGGCTTGCTTCAAAAGACCAGATTTGAGTTCTACTTCTGTCACTTACTGGCTGTGTGATGTCGGGTAAATTACATACATTTCCTAAGGTTTATTTTTCTCATTTGGAAAAAGAGTTAGGATTAAATGAGATATTATATTTGAAAATACATTGTAGCATGCTATACTATACTTTAGAAATCTTTATACTGTTTACACTTGAGATATGGAAATTAAAAATCACCTTCAGAGGAAAAATACTTAACCTCATCTAATTGGACATCTGATATCCCTTCACAGTTTTTTGGTTGGTGTTGCTTTTAAAACAAAAAAAGTCTTCCTCTGTCTAGTTTAAGGCCCACTTGTTGGCTGATCATCTCAGGAGAGAATGTTTTGTTACTTACGTTTCACCAGACAAGTAAATAAACAGATATGTCTGAAGTCTACTAATTCTAGGATAGAGATCCTTCCTAGTGGATTGTATCCAGTTCTGCCAGACAAGTATATTTCCAAAGCCTCAATTTGTTGAATGAAAGCAAATCACCCTGTGACTTTAGTTACGAAGAAATGCGGTTGGAAATCAATAAAACAGCAGGTTTTTCCTAACCCAACGTCTTTTCTGTCAATAAAAGTATACAATTATATGATAGAAAAATATGACATTTAGGGAGATTTCAGTAGAACTAAAGACTGTATTCCACCTGATATATTCAGAGACAACTTGTAGGTGGCATGTTTAAACTTGCCCCTAAAGACTATTAATTTGTTATGATTGAAAGAGAACAGCTGGGGTCAAGGACTGAGTTGAGAGCACAGCTGGGTAAACAGCAGTCTTTCATCCCCACTGAGGGTATATGGCAGGTCAGAGTCACTATTTCCCGCCAGTGTGTTTAGCTACCCAGGAATATCCCCTAATTTATCTTCTTGAGTTATATTCCCAATTTCTCAGAGCATCTGAAATGTCATCAATTCTGAGAGGGAGGGATCTTTAGAGTGCTAATATCCTGGGAATATTTTTACTTCCCTCTGTGTGGAGCAGTATTTGCTTCTGAATTGGAGAAATCCCAGGAAATTCCTTGTAAGTGGCCGGAAATATCTTTCCAAATTTTATTTCTGGGATGGTAGGAAGAGGCAGACTGGTCATTTGGGTGACTACTAAGGAAGAGTTGACAGTGGTTCTACTTCTCTGCACCTTAAAAGATAACAGGCCTAAATAGATGCTCATTTTTGGGTGGGGGTGTTTCTGGTTTTTTGTTTGTTTGTTTGTTTGTTTGTTTTTGCTA